ACTCCCGGCCCAGCCTCATGACCTGCTGTGGTCCAGCCTTACACACACACACACACACACACACACACCAGCACTCCCTGCCCAGCCTCACGACCTGCTGTGGTCCAGCCTTCCTCAGCTCAGCCCCAGCATCCCCCATTTCTCCAGCGCCCACTCACAGCAGCCCAGCCCAGCCCAACTCCAAGCTTTGGTTCTCCGGGCAGACAGTATGGATGTCTGCTCCAAACGGTGTCCACAAATCAGGCCTGCCTTGGTGCCCGCCTGTGGTGGCTATCCCCCCATGAGGTATAGCACTCACCACACACTCTCAGAATTATTTTCTCCCTTTTGCTCGCTGAACTTCCTGAGGTCCTGGTGTTACCCACACCCTGGTAAGTGGGTAAGTGAAAGCCAGGTACAGTGCAGTGCTCTAGGAATATTTAATACAAAGAGCCCTGGTGATGCTGTTGGATACACGCGGGAGGACTAACTGCAAGGATAGTGGTTCAAATCCACCAGCCACCCTGAGGGAGAAAGAGGAGGCTTCCAGCTCCACCAAAGATCTACCAAGCCTCTGAAACCCTCTCTAGGGTCGCTCTGAGTTGGAATTGGCTCCAGGACAGTGGGCTTTTGTTTTGTTTGTTTGTTTGTTTATCAGCAACCCTACGCTTTAGAAAGAGTTAAGAAACCACGTCCATTCTTGTAATAAGATTTCCCAGATTTTCAAACTCCAAAATATCCGTGAACTCAGTGCATTAGAAGTTTTACTTAGAGCGCTCCGACATTACCTGAGCGGTTTGCAGTGGTTCCCAGAGCCCGAGTACCATCTGTTGGTGACAGCATCTCCAAGAGGCGCCCTCCGCTTTTCTAGATGCCGAAGGGAGGCTCTGTGTCCAAAGTGCACGCTCCAGTGTAGAGACGCCTCTCCTTCTGACCTGAGCCTCCCCACTTTTAGCAGAGATTATCTTGATGCCCCCCTGCCCTGCTGCAGCTCAGTGTGCTCCTCTGTGAAATTAGCTACTCTAACTCACAGGCAAGCTGGTCTCTCGAGATGTGAGACCCTCCAGCTGTTGTGCTGTGATATAGAGGGGCTTTCAACCCCTCAGCACCATGGGTGGCAGAGCAGAATTGCTCCATACCGGTTTCGGGGCTGTAGCATTTATAGGGCTCGAATACCAGGTCCATCTCCTACAGAGCAGCTGGCTGATTTGAACCATCCTGTTAGCAGCCCCAAACCAAACCTCCCGCCTTCGGGTTGTTTCTGGCTTATGGGAAGTGGCCCTGCAACTCAGAGTAGAGCTGTCCCTTTGGGGTTCAGAGGCTGTAATGCTTTATGGCAACAGAAGCCCTCGTCTTGCTCACACAGAGCAGCTGGTGGTTTTGAACCGCTGACGTTGTGGTTAGCAGCCCAACTCATAACCACTGTGCCACCAGGGCTCCTTAACAGTATATTAAATACCCTCACCCTACCTCGCACTGGGAGTTTCCTGTCCTCCTGGATCCCCACTGTGGGCGAGCCTCTCCAGGGGATGCACCATCCCCAGGGAACCCTGTGCTTTCAAAGTGGTTGCTGCTGCCACTCCCATTGCTCCTGCTCAGTAACTGAAAAAGAACAACAAAGGAGTTGTCCTTGAGTCAGGTCCCACGTACGGCAACCCCATGAAGGTCAGAGTAGAACTGTGCACCAAATACACCAGTGTCTCTGAAGCATTAAGTCCCACATGAGGTGCATGAGCAAGATTCATCCGTGAAGAAGGGAGGAGCCTGCATCTTGGAGCCAACAGCCAAGAACGTGGGCATCAAAGACGGTGTGGCCCACTAAATTGGGATGAAGGGAACCATCCAAAGGCCACGGATTCATAAGATCCTGGGATGTGCCCAAGTGCCACTGACTTGTCTCTGGCCCAGCACAGCCCAGTGCGTGTCTGAAACCCCCTCTCATCATCTTTATGAGGTGGTTTTTCCGACGTGCAAGAAGTTTCACTGAACGTGTGGGAAATGGGATTTTCCCATGAACTTTTTCGGTCCCCCTTGCAAATCGCCAGACCTTTCTTCCAATGCACCTCTGTGGAGACTCACTCTGCCAGCCTGTCTGGTTAACAGCTGAGCACATTCAGCATCGGTACCACCCAGGGATGCGGTGATCTTAAATATTTACTGCACAAAGATCGTTGGTGTCAGGGCCTTGAAAAGCCAATGGTAGCATCAATGTGTGCTCGCATGACCCGCGACGTGGTAGCAGAGACAGCGAGGGAAAGGGGGGATGTAAATGGAGGGAGACCCAGCAGGATGAGCATGATTCAGATGGGCCATGGCAAACCTGGCAGCACCTTCTAGGGCAGATGACTGGGATTTTTCGGGATG